CAAATATCCGACTTGCAAATGATTCATAGTTAAGAAAGGGGATGAGACAACAGGAAGTGAGAGAAATTTACCCCTCGGAAAGACAATTTTCTCCTGAAAGAGTTATTATGGGGAAAAGGTGTCTCCATTGAAGCTTTATCACTAATGTATTGTCGAAGGCTTTCATGGCCGGAATCACTAGGTTGTTGTAGGTTTTTTGGGCTATATGGCCATGTTCTAGAAGCATTCCCTCCTGATGTTTCACCTGCATCTATGGCAAGCATCCTCAGAGGTTGTGAGGTCACTAATCCTTGTTTCCACAACAATCCTTGTTTCCACAACAAGCTTAATTTCTCAAAATCCAATTATCACGAGTGAAATTTTCTGAATAGGGACACAGACAGCTATCCAAAGCTAGCTATCTCTATATCTCTATATCCCTATCTCTCTCTCTCTCTCTTTCTTTCTTTCTTTCTGGCTGGAGTAACACTTAAACACTATTCTGACTAAATACAAACTCAGCTTAAAAATAAACCTATAGAACCTATCTTGTATGTAGGTTGGGGACTGCCAGCATATAATCATTGCAATTCCTTGTCCTGGTTTATGTGTCTCAGAGTGCATCTACACTGTAGAATTAATGCAATTTGATACTACATTCACTGCCGTGATTCAGACCCCATCTACCCTGACCATTTCATACAGTTTCAAATTGGTATTGAAGAAAGGAGGATTTTTAAAAAATTACACGGTTTGCATGGTTAAGCAAAGCCATGGATATCATGAACATGGATCAACTAACGCAACACCTAAAGAGGAATACATCAACACACGATAGCACCGATTGGAGCAAATTTATTACATATCTAGATAAAAATATGACAAAATAAAAACAAAATAAAATAGAAGAAACACGAGCGGGACAAATAACATAGTTAAAGAAATAGATAAGGATAACAACCGACCGTATCAACGTATATAATAAGGATAAAATACTTAACTAGGAGCTTAAAGAAACAAACAAATGCCAGCCCGAGCGTCCCTGGAAGCCTGATAAGGATGAATGTGATGTCTTTGTTGGTTTGTCTTTGTTGTCCCGGATGTGTAGTATGTGTAATTGGTTTTTCGGCAGGGAGGGGGAGGACGGGGGGGGGGGGAATGGGAGGGGGAGAAGTAGTATAATGTACAGGGAAATCTTAATCGGTGTGAATTACTTGTATGTATATGTATATGTGTGGTCCCTTTTTTTTTTTATACTGGAAAACTTAATAAAAACTAATTAAATAAAAAATAAAAATAAAAATTACACGGAAATATAATGCCTCTGTTAAAATATACCAAATTACTCTCTCTCTCTCTCTCTCTCTCTCTGTATGTGTGTGTGTATATATATATTAGGGCTGTCCAACCACGGAAAAATTTGTTTCTAAACTCGATTCGTTTTTAGGGTTTTTTTGCGTTTCGTTATTTAAAAGAATTCCGAAATTTTTCTTTTAAAAAGTTCGATATTTACGAAATTACAATTTCGAAACAATAACGAATCGATTCGTTAATGGCGGACGCGATTGCGCAATACGCTAAAAAACCCTCCAAATGGGACAGGGGGAACTTCTGAAGCTTCCCTCTCCCTCTGTTGTTGACTGTTGGTGTGATATTTTTTATCACTGATAAAACAAACAACGACTATAAAACTTGCACCAGACATACGGAAATAATAACAAAATAATAACGAAACAATTTCGAAACAATTACGAAACAATTTCGAAACAATTACGAAACGAATTGGAAAAATTCGTTTCGTTTTTTAGTTGCTCCTGAATGGTTCAATATCGCTTCGTTATAAAAAAAATAACGAATTAATAACGAATTACGAAATTAACGAACGAAACCGCCCAGTCCTAATATATATATATGCCTAACAATATTATACATCACATGTGTTATGTTGTCAGTGCCTTCAAAAAAAATTGTCAATTTTTCAAAAATCTCCATTTTTTATTTTAAAACCCAGCAATATTGTTGTGGGTTTTTTTTTCCATAGCTTCAAAATAGAGGTTTTTCATCTCAAAGAAAGGTGAGATGTTTATATAAGTGGATAAGAATGATTCTTATTTTCCGCCCAGGCTGCATACCAGGCTGTTGCTCTAGTCCCATAGGATTTTTGTGGTCTAGCAAGTTTTACGTATTTGTTTCTACTCCTCAACCTCCTACATTTGAGAGGAAGTGTGGTATAACAGATAAAAAGTTGTATTATATATGATTAAGCCACATTTCGGTTAATAACACTACTTGACTCTAGAAACCACCAAGCAGTGAGCACTCTATTAATTTTTTTTCTAGCCTGCATGAATCATTTTAAAGAGTCTGAACTGAACCTCTATGGTATCTTCAGTCTCACCCATTTTTTTTCCACATACATTATGAGTCCCCCCCAGGGGAGAGAGGGTGGGAAAGAATAGAAATAAAGTTTTTTTATATGAAATATGGTCTGTCTTACGTTTTGCTGTTTTAAGGATTATATCATGCTTATGCAAATCTTCTCCCATTATTTTTTGAAATGTATTGCAAGGAGCCATTATCATAGATAGCGTGGAATTTTACAACATATTGGGATGATCACCCTTGCTATTATACTTCTCGGGATTTGCACAAAATGCATGAATTTGCTAATGCATCATCATCATCATCATCATTTTAAATAATTTGAATTCATTTAATTCTTACTGTGCTTCCACTTTGCCTTTCTTGTGTAATTTTTTTTTAAAAAAGCAATTTCAGAATTACAGTTAAACTTAGTTAAAAAAATAAATAAAATCACAAACAATGAATTACTGGTTTGGGAATAGCAATGCGGTGTGGAGAGTGGGAAAGAAGGAGACCCCTGCCGTCTGATATTACTTCTAGTGCTGGCATGCTGGTGCTGAAAAAGAATGGACTCATTGCATCAGCTAAGTAATGGGAATGAGGTACAGTCTGTAGGTTTGCCTGTCAATAGAAAAGGGTGGGTTTATCATCCGGGCGTCCCCTGGGCAACGTCCTTGCAGATGGCCAATTCTCTCACACCAGAAGCAACTTGCAGTTTCTCAAGTCGCTCCTGACACGACAAAAAAAATCATGAAGAAGAGGCAGACCGGCAACAGGATGTGCACAGTATCATAGAATAGCACAGTACCATACAGTGCCATAGGATGTGTACAGTATCATAAAGTACCATAGGATGTGCACAGTACCATACAGTACCATAGGATATACACAGTAACATACAGTACCATAGGACATGCACAGTACCGGACAGTACCATAGGATGTGTACAGTATCATAAAGTACCATAGGATGGACACAGCACAATAGGATGTGCGCAATACCATACAATACTATAGGATAGGCACAGTACCATACAGTACCATAGCATGGGCACAGTATCATTACATGTGCGCAGTACCATACAGGACCATACAAAGGTGACAAACTGATTCAATTTTCCTTCCCCAACTTTGTGCAATAAAGTCCTTTGTGAGTTAACTTGATCATTTTTAATGCTTCCCTCAATGTACCACTGCTCACAAACAGAACTTGATAGATACTAGGCATGGTTAGGTTCGGTCGGAATCTTCATAATTCGGAATAAATTTGGAAAGATTTCCTTTTTGAAGCAATTTTGACGTTTTAAAGAAAATCGGAAGTCCCTTTGCCCTTCCGAAGCTTTTTCTGCCATTTCTCTTACAAATCAGTAAGTGAGTCGGAAATGATTCAGGTTTTCAAACCAGTGTGGATGGATTCCTTTCATTTCCTTTCTCTCCCACATCAATCCTGGGTGAGAGCAGCAGTTTAACCCAGTTTGGATGGATTTCCTTCGGTTTCCTTTTTCTCCCGCGTCTGTCCTGGGTGAGAGAAGCGGTTTAACCCAGTTTGGATGGGTTTCCTTCGGTTTCCTTTTTCTCCCGCTTCTGTCCTGGGTGAGAGAAGCAGTTTAACCCAGTTTGGATGGATTTCCTTTGGTTTCCTTTCTCTCCCTCATCAGTCCTGGGTGAGAGAAGCAGTTTAACCTAGTGTGGATGGATTTCTTCCCTTTGCTCCCCCCAGCCCCTGCTTCTGGAATAGAACAACTACTTTCAAAGTAAATACCACCCAATGAAACAGGAAATAACACTTTGAAACCATTAACGAAGGATTCGGAAGTCTCAGAAGTTTTGAAAAGTTTTAACCCAGTTTGGATGAATTTCCTTTGGTTTCCTTTCTCTCCCGCATCAGTCCTGGGTGAGAGAAGCAGTTTAACCTAGTGTAGATGGATTTCTTCCCTTTGCTCCCCCACCCCCTGCTTCTGGAATAGAACAACTACTTTCAAAGTAAATACCACCCAATGAAACAAGAAATAACACTTTGAAACCATTAACGAAGGTTTCAGAAGTTTTGAAAAGTTTTGAACTTTTTTTCTGTGAAAATCGGAATTGACTTTAGATCCGAACCACCAGCACCACCTACATCCAAAACAGGTTTTAAACCATTTTTTTTTTTGGATCAAACAAGCCTAATAAATACCCATGGTGAGCAATAGGCAAAGGAATGGCAGTGACAAGAGGAAAAGGAAAGGAAAACATGCCAGGAGCTATCTGTATGAAAGAGTGATGGCTGATGCCAGGCAAGGAGCATTAGCAGCTTAAGAAGAGCAACAAGACATGGGTTTCAGAAGAGAGCTTTATTTTCAAAAAGTATAAACTGTGAGGGGTAAGCTAATGCTTTAGTTAAATGTAGCTAAAAGGGGTTTAGCTCACTGTTTTAGTAAAGATCAACATTCCTCTCATCTTCATGAGTCCTGTTGCATTTTGTTTCTAGACAGTAATCTATCACCACAAACCACTATTAACTTGAGATTAAAATACACCTCTCTAGATGGTGCATGAGAGTCACCTGGACGGGTGGTTCATTTCCTTCTTGCTACCCAGAAAATGGGGTCACATGGTGTGTGTTTCTTAAAAAGGACTGTTCTTCTGCTCCCTCCCTACTACTGTGCCCTGCCCTGCCCTGCCCAGGAGACCTTTTCTTCTGGCAGCTCCAGCCTTCCCTGCTCTACCACAGTTTCTTTACTGGGCACATCACAATCAGATTCCTCTACTGACAACAACCTGACCTGGGGTGAGTAGGCTCACAACTCTTTCCACCTGCTACATGAGTGATGCTCTTTGCCACCCAATCTAACAGCAGAAAGATTTGGTTTTTCTCTACCTACAATTCCAAGACAGGACTTTCTTTTAAGATATTGTGACTGGGTGACAAATTTCGGAAATGATTAGTGACGAGTGGGGAACTTCTGCACTACATAAAAGCCTGACATTTGGATTAAGTTTAAAAAAAATACTCTAAGGACCATAACATAAGCAAAGAGAGTTTGCAGCAGATTAACATATGTTGTTTTCAGATATAGCCAACATAATGCAATGTGCCTAAAGTCTATTAAACTGTCTTGCTTGATGGTCCAAAGAGTTGCAGTCCACCAGGTCTATGGACACAAAAGATGTAGTTCAGCGGGTTAGAAGGGACAGAGAGCTAAAAAAAAACAACAACAGCCCATGCAGTTGCGTACAGCTTTAAATAGTTCTTCAGCCACCTTAGCATCCAGGGAGGGATTCTGTAAAAACATTTCTCAGAAAGATTAGTAGCTTGCAAGAATTATTGTCCAATGTGTCTCTGTGTTCGTGTATCCGTTCTACTATTTATGTTTAATTTCAGCAGCTTCCAACCTGAATGTGTGTTCTTGGTCCATTATATGTTTCTATTTGTATTCATGGAATGTCTAACATTTAGGACAATATGTCTTTATGGGCACACCTCTGTAACATTCAATAGATACAATCAGACATGTAGCCAGGGTGGGGGGGGGGGGGGGCTTGAGGGGCTTCAGCCCCCCCCCCCTCGAAATTCTCATGGTGGTTCGCGAAAAGGCCTTACTGGTGCATTATTTAAACTGTTATGTTTATTCATATCATGATCTGATCACCATACTCAATATATCCCATATGCATGGGGGTATTGGGGTAATGATTCAAAAGGTTTGCTAGGGTAGACCCTCTTTCACTCAGACTCAGCCCCCCCTGAAACTCTGCCCCCCCGAACCCTCCCTTTGGGGAAAACTCACCCCCCCCCCCCCGAATCGAAATCCTGGCTACGGGCCTGGATACAATTATCTCTGATTCTGATAGCATTTAACTGGCTAAAATACCCCTAATTTTGATAACTGTTTGCTGTTCAGAGAAAGCCTAGTTCCTGGAGAGTCTCACTGTATTATTAGACAGTGTACAGAGTTGGAACTGCATATACAGTAGGAAGTTACAAAGTGCGAAAACTATCCAATGGTTTGGTTGTCATAGTTTAAAATAAGACCAGGTGCTGGCAGCACGCTGTAAGGTAGAATACAGTAAAGTCACTATTTGTTAGTAAATACATAAAATGATAATCAGATACTACATGTTCTACATGTTGGCATCACTAAGAATGAGTTCACTTTTCTAGAAAGTAATGTCTAGCAGAAGAACTGAAAATCAAATGTAATCATTTGTGACAGCTCCACATCCCCCAGACTGAGGACATTGTCTTTTACTGGTCCTTGTTATGTTTTTATCATTATCATTATTATTACTATTATGTTTATTTATACCCCTCTTTTTCTCTCCACAAGGAGACCCAAAGCAACTATAGGTATAATGTAAGCAAAGTTTATTGATTAGTCCATTGACTGTATCAACATTAAAAACAAAAACAGAAACGTGCACAAATAGACAATAATCACTATCCTAAGACTCCCATAATAGTGAACTAACATGCATTCAAACTTGATTAGGTTAAAAGATAATTTAAAATATCATCATTAAAATGCCAAGGTAACATTTCATACCACAAAAATTAAAAATGAAGGTTAAAACGAAGGTTAAAATAGACCAGCTATTACACAATCCCAAGCCACTTCAGATATCTGCGTCACTCCTACAGTTTACCCCAGTCTCCTCCAGATATGCAGTTCTCAGCTGCGTTGCTTTATGAAGAAAAAGGGCTGTTTGGTGTGTTATCTTAGCATTCTGGCCAGCCATTAAGAATGTAGTTTTGATATGGGGATCCCAGTGAGTCTTCTGTATGATGAATGGTTCGAAGTATATAGGTATAATGTGATATAGAGATAATGTGATGGTATTTAGATTACACGGACATCTTCCTTTTGATATAGAGATTATGTGTTCTCTCATACTTCCTCTTGCACAAGTAATATTTGCTTGAGAAAGACTTGAACCTGGTTGGCCCTGTCTGCATTGTTTCATCACACAGATACCATCATTATAGTGGCTTATAGGATTGTTCCATGGGAAGTCATTGCCACAGATGCAGTGACACTTTTGTCTAGAATATTACATATACACAGCCTAGTGATTATACCTTTACACATTTGCCTTTATAACAGATTGTGTAGATTAGCACCAGAAGTCGTGTGGCATGATCCCTGGTCCCATCTACGCAGCTCCCTCAGCTGGAAAGACATGGGTCTTCTGAAAGACTCGTGTCTTTCCAGTAATCAAATTACCTCAGAACAAAGCAAAGTTTTCCTGCTTTGTACAAAAGCATTTGTGTTTTCATGCGGTATCATCTGGATGTCCCACTTGAAGAAGCGGAAGGGCACGCATTTTATTTATGTACAAGCTGTTCCCTGCCATGTGTTGCTGTGGCCCAGTCTGGTGACCTGGAAAATCAAGTAATGAGAAAGTGCTGGTTTCTAATATATGTAATGTCTTTATGCTTGTGGGTCAACAGTATTTCTTGCTGTTTCTTTGTCAGTGTTGATGTGGAGATTGTCTGGTTTGCCTACTCTGGAACATGCAACATGGAAATTGTCCTTCTTTAGGGGTCCCTTTCAAATCTATACTATATCTCTCTGTGTGTGAATCATTTCTATCTATCTAATCTATGGCTGGATGGCTCTTTGTCAGGAGGGCTTTGATTACATTTTCTTGCCCTGGTGGAGGGAGATGGACTGGATGGCCTTCAGTATGGGGGTTCTGTGTGGGAAGTTTGCCCCAATTCTGTTGTTGGTGGGGTTCAGAATCTTTGATTGTAGGTGAACTATAAATCCCAGTAACTACAACTCCCAAATGTCAATATCCCCCAAACTCCATCTGTGTCCATATTTGGGTTTATGGAACATTCATGCCAAGTTTGGTCCAGATCCATCATTGTTTGAGTCCACAGTGCTCTCTGGATGTAGGTGAACTACAACTCCAAACTCAAGGTCAATGCCCACCAAACCCTTCTAGTGTTTTCTGTTTGTCATGGGAGTCCTGTGTGCCAAGACTGGTTCAATTCCATTGTTGGTGGAGTTCAGAATGCTCTTTGATTGTAGGTGAACTATAAATCCCAGGAACTACAACTCCCAAAAAACAAACTCAATTTTTTGAGTGATGGTCACTCCTTGGGTTAGTAGGTGCTGTGGCCAACCTTCCATCCCGCTTTCTCTCTCGCATTCCCTCCTCTCCCTCTTTCCTTCGTTCCTTCCTTTTTTCCTTTCCTTCTCTCTTTCCTCCCTCCCTCCTCCCTTTTCTTTTATTTTCCTTCTTTCTCTCCTTTCTTCCTTCTCTCCCTTTCCTTCCTTTGCTCTTTGCTTCCATCCCTCCTTCTCTCTTTCCTGCTTTCTTTCCCTCCCTCTTTCTCTCTCTCCTTTCTTCTCTGCCGCTTCCCTTCCTTCCCTTCTTTTCCTCTTGCCTGGGCGCTGGAAGGAAGGATCCTCGGATCCAGGCATGGAGCAGGTGGGAGGGAGGCGATTTGGAGGCAGGCCTCGCTCACCCAGCACCGCCCCTTTTCTTTGCCATGGCTGAGGGGCGCCTTCTCGCCTGTTTGCCGGTTGGGCATGCCGTTGGTGCCTCTCGCGCTGGCTGTGCTCGTGCGGCTAGGGTGGGGGAAGAGAATGGGTTTGGACGCATGCGCAGTGTTCTCTTGTAAAATTTAAAGTCTTACTGTTTTTTGGGAGGAATATTTTTAGTGCAGGACATAGATTGCTCTGAATGCTGTGTTCTGTCCAAATTTGGTGTCAAATCCCCCAGTGGTGTTTGAGTTCTGTTAATATCACAAACGAACATTACATTTTTATTTATATAGATTGATTTATTTCATATACTTGTACCCCGCCCTTCTCACCCCGAGGGGGGACTCAGGGCAGTCTCACAGCAAACACCATTCAGTGCCATCATAATGATAAGAACAATCAACAAATTCATTAAAACAAAACATTAAATAAACAGTTGTTAAAACATGCCAATTAAAATCCGGGTCCAGGTCAATTCATTGCCACTTAGAAATTGCTTATGTCTTCTCCATACAAGCCGCTGTTCAATGGTCAAATGCAAGGTCCCACAGCCAAGTCTTGAGCTTCCTTCTAAAAGACAGGAGGGAGGTGGCCAGTCTGATGTCTTTGGGAGGGAATTCCACAGGCTGGGAACCACTGTTGAGAAGGCCCTGTCTGTAGTCTCCACCAATCGTGTTTGTGACGGTGGTGAGATAGAGAGCACGGCCTCTCCGGATGATCTTAAACTTACATTTTCGGGCCTGTCTGGATGGCTCCTGAGTTTTAAAACATTAATTTTCCTCAGAAATACAGAAATACGTAACCTATAAAAGTCACATCAAATAATTCCAAACGGTTCTTAATCATGTCTTTCTTCAGGAGGAAATTGAACAATATGTTAGATTTTTATATTTTATAATAATCAAACTTTCCATTTTAATTATTTATTTTATTTATTTATTATTTAAACTTATATGCCGCCACTCCCCTGGGGCTCGGAGCGGCTTAAGCATGAAATCCCCACGTTGAAATAGTCTTTTCTTCTAGAAGCTATTTAAAGGGTTCCCAGTCATTCTCAAACTCTGAAAGGTCTTTTGACTGAAGGTATCCCAGCAGAATGTCCATCTCAGTCACCTCTGCCATTTTCACAGTCGATTCCTCCACTTCCGGTGTTTCCTCCAGTTTCCAGGCCTGAGGATAAATTATTATCGCAGCAGTTGTCATCAGGATGAAGAGTTTCATTCTTTTGCTCAGATGTGAATTGTTTTAATACTGCAAGTGTCTTAATTCTGTTAATATTTATATTTTACTAGCC